AAGGTCTGCCAATTTTAACTCCTTTCCTTCCTATATTACTAAGGGCTTCACAACCTCTCCAGCTTTTCCTAGGTCTGCCCCTCTTGCTGTATCTCCCTGCCTCTTCCCTGGGCAAACAACCCATTGGCTCTGGGTATAGTGACAGGTATGAATTCAAGCTGCAGAAACTCTTTGGTCATCATTACCGATTTGCTAACAAATGTCTCCTGAGAAAACTACCATACTCAGGAAAAAGATTGAGTACAGCAGCTGCAAAGGTGAGGAGTGGGCGGTTTTAAGAGCCAACCCCAGGAAGCCATTTGGTGCCAAGAGCAGTAACCACCACACAAATTCATCAATTCTGTTAGATAGGCAGAGAAGACTCTTTGAGTAAATGTGATATATTTTATTAGACCAACTAAATAGTTGGAAAAATTGTTCTTTATAAGATTTGGGGCACAAACACCCTTTTTCAGGCATGGGAAGAGTCTGCTGGTATTGTGTTCTCTCCATGGTGGACTACAAACCAATATGCAAAATGTCGATCTGTGAATGCAAATGTATGGGAGTGCATGTTAGATACTTACTTGTCCCAATAGGTGGCTCGCTATCCATTAAATACCTGCACACACATGGCAACACTGGCACTTCTACCTCTTCCACAGCATTCTTATAAAGGCTTTTCTAATTAACACACAGTCATCCCAAATGTTACCTCACATTTGGCTATTTTTTGGAGGGCTTCACCTTTGTTTCGCCATTGTAAAATGAGCCCGGTGTGCTGCAAAGGTGAAACACACCACTGCATGCACCATGCTACAGGTACAAGCTGTGCTAGTCATCCCTGAGTTACAGCCATCCTTGTGCTGATAGGCTGGATAATTGCACAAAAGAGAAGATCTGTCTGGCTGCTTACACATGTGTTTTGTTCTAAAGTAGGGCTATCTACCATTTGGGTTTATCTGCAGCCTCCAGGCTCCCACCCACCCACCATGCCTTCCATTGCCCCAGCTGTAGCAACAGTCAGGGTTTCCAAGCTCCTCCTCCTTTCTTTGGCTTCCACATCTTGCCCCTGTGGCAGAAGCAGTGCTGTATGGTATGGTGAGGCATGACATTGTCTGGTGCAGCTTGCAATGTAGGGGGAGCTCATGACCCAGGGTGACCCTATGGCATAGCATAGTGCAGCATGGAAGCCCATGGCTGGAGAGCTGAGGGTGAGTCTGGAACACTGTACACACATACTGGATGGAAAGGGTCCTTCTACACATGGGATGCAGTGGGGTGGTTCACACTGATACAGCCCATGACATGTACAGCCCTGTGGTGCAGCCCATGGGTCATGCTGCTCATGGCCACTTCGAGGTCCAACAGTTCTGTTACAAAGAGATGTGCCATTTTGGCACAAAAGTGAACTTCACAGCCTTTCCATATGGAACACAACTGGTGACATGGCCCCCTTCATGGACAGTCTATAAAGCCATTGGGGATCCAGTGAGATAAAGAAAAGAAGTAGTTCCTAATATTCACTTCTGCTTCCATCTTGGTGGGAGGGGGGCATTATATATTTCTGCTTGGATGACTTTATAAAGCAAATTTACTGAAGTCCAGGCTTTTCCCATCAATAACCTTAACAGGGGAGTCTTTGCTGCCCCCATTAATGCTATCTAAACTCAAGCAGCAAGGTGAAGGTTATAGGCTTCAAGGACTGTCAGGCACCTCCTAGATCCTTGAGACCAGGCCTCTGAGCAGGTGCAGGATGTGCTGTTCCCAAACCAGCCTGGTAGTTGCCTGCTCAGCCTCTTCTGGGAACCTCCCATGAAGGGGATTCCACACCCTCCCTGGCCACAGTCTTCATTGCTGTAGCCTCATCAACCTGGCCAGATAAACAATCAAGGCTGCCTTAAAGCTCTGGAGGGTGGCAAAGAAACTATCCCTGCTGTGGCTTAGCCCTCAGGGACCTAATGGTCCCCAGGTAGTTCTTTGCCTTTATTTTTCAGTTTTGAGTCTTGTTCATCTCCAGGCATTGCTAGTGAATGTTAGTTTGAATACAGCAGCATGTTACTAGAAGCCCATTCTCTAGTTCTTCCAGAGAGTGCTGTGTGTAACATTTGGTTGATAGTGTATCATGTATGCCCCACCCCAGTGTTGCCTACTGGGTTAGGCCCTGGCTGTGCGTCAGCCCAGGGACAGCTGTGGGATCTCTCCTCAATGCTTAATCTATTCTTAAGGTAGGTTCCTATCACTTCTTGGCCTCCTGTGAGCTAAGATCAAGTGTAATTGCTGCACTAGTCTGATACTCAAGCTGAAATGGATTTAAATGGCAGTGTGTAGTGGAGGGTGCACCCCAGTTCAAAAGTGGACTTGAATCCCTATGATACCCTTGTAATTAGCTTCCCACTGGCCAGCTTCCAGTGGGAGGATCTTGGTTCTATGCCTACTTTATGGAAATGAGGGACTTCTCCCTAGCTTGCTCCTGCAGCCATTGGCTGAGGGCAAGTGAAACTTGGGAGCATCCAAGCCCCAAGCCTCCAGGCTTGGGCCTGCATGTAGGATGCCCATCAAAGGATTTGGAAGTATCTGAAGCCCCAGGCTGAAAAGTTTGGGGTAGAGGATACTTGCTGGTTGCAGCACCATATATGGTGTTTGAATGATTGCAGTTTGCTCAGTTAAAAGGATTTGGAACTGATCTGACTAGTTTGACCTGGAACACAAAAAAATTTCCACAAAAAAAAAAAAGAAAAAGAAAAAAACCTCTCCTCAAGGCTTCTATTCCAGTATATCCCAGTTCAAGGCAGGTCAATGCCTCATTGTCCTAATCTGCACTTTGTGGGTACTGGGATTCACCCCCCTGTGTGGAGTTGGTGGCATGTGGGTGAGATGCCCTGCACACATCCTCATTATTCTTCTCCTTCTCTCTCTGCAGTAATGCTCACCGGAGTATAAATCATCCAGCTGTTTGAACCAGCAGGGTTAAATGAAGACACTGCAAACCTTTAGACAGGACATGTTGGAGGATGGCATTGGGTTGGCCTGAAATGAGCAGGGGGTCCAGGATATGGCATTAATGTCTAGATGATGACCCGGTCTTCCCCTCTGTTCTACCAGCCCACATGTGGCCCACCTCAGAAATCAGTCACAAGAGCTAAGACTAAGACACAGGATCTTTATTGATCTATAAATAACATCCATCATATCAAGCCAATATACAGCACTGTGCAGTCCAGTTAATGCTTTGCAGAGAACTGTCCCAGCTCTTCCTGTCCCAATGTCACCCAGGAGGTGATACCATCAGGAACATTCAGGTGTTCTGGGTATGGATAGGTTGAGACTGATCCACACCCAGCCTCTGCTGGGTGCTGGAACCTGGGTGGGAGGGGAGCTCTCCGGGTCTGGCTTCTCCCATCAGGAGGTGCAACTGGGAGGGCTGCAGGCTTCTAGCTGCATCCGGTCTCAGACCCTGCAGTAGCACTTCTTGCAAGGCCCCCAGCTTTGGGAAAGCAAGGGAGTGAAAGGACCAATGTGCAGGGTGTTACCTTTCAGACTGGACAACTTGTGAAGAGGTTCAGACTGTGGGGAAACGCCCTGCCCCAGCTCAGGGAGCGCAGAGGAGATGGGAACACTGTAGGCCAATCTTTTCAAAAAGGCTGTGCTAATGCAGTATCACTGTTTTTCATTACCCAGGTCAAGAAGACCAGGCCCTGGTCAGATTTGCTGCTGAGCACATGCAGCTCCAGGTGGAGTCAAGAGGAGTGTTGCATGCTCAGCACCTTTGTCTGTTTTCTCTAGTTGGGCACCCAAAATGAGTGTTCATACTTGGAAAGCTTCTTCCTCTTTCATTTCAAGAATTTTCTCCTCAGATCTTGACTTCCCTCATACAAGGAGACTGGAACAGCAGTGGGAAGCTCACAGCTACTGTAGCCCCAACCTTTCAGCACAAGAGGTAGAATAGGAAGCAGTGCGGGGCAGCCGGCTTCCTGGCCACATCCCACATAGTGCAGTGATGGTGTCTGCCAGCAGGAGGTGCTGTAGGGACACAGGATGAGTATCTGTCTTCACTGCAGAGTTACACTGAGCTCTTGCTCTTACCTTACCCCTGCTCCCTGTCTGCCTACCCACAGAGCTCTTGGAGTCAAGCTCAGTGGTGCTCACAACTTTGCTCTGGTAAAAGATTGCTGTCCACTTTTCTGTGAGGACACAGATAAACCACCCAAATGCTGAGAGTCCTCCCATGTCTGCCCACAATCCCCCACCTAGTTGCAGAAGGATCACAGAATCACAAAGAAGTAGGGCTGGAAGGGACCTTCAGAGATCATCAAATCCAAGACCTGCCAAAGGCAGGATCATCCCTAACCAAACCACCCTATATGAATCCAGTGTCCAACCGACTAGTAAAATTAAAAACTCAATCCTGACACAAGCACAAGGTATAACACCCTAACCTGCCACAGGTAAGGCAGGGGGACAATGGTGGCCAATATCTGGCTGCTGAGAGGGTTGTAAAAATGCACTCAAGGATAAATCAGTTCATTCACAATTCCCAGGGAAGGTGTCACAGGGTGTGTCAGTTTAGTGCAGTGCTAAAAGCCATGAGACACACTTGCAGAGTGCATAGTGCCACAGGCAGCGAGCGCAGCAGCCGTGAGAACTCCATCAACTGGGGGGCACTTTGCACGGTGGCTGCTTATCCCCCTGTGTGCCCAGCCAGGGTGCTCAGATCTGGCTGCCAGGCCCTGGGTAACTTTGCAGTGAAGCCACAGCCTGGAAGGATTGAGGCAGGGAAGGTTGTGGTGGGGATTTCCTACCAACCCTGATCTTTCCCAGGGATCAGCAGGTGGATGTGCTGACCAGGGGATGGATAGGGGCCATCTGCCATTAGAGGGTTGGCCTTATCTCAGGACACAAGGACTCAAGGCTGAAGAAGAGAAGAGGAGAAAAAGTGAGTGGGACAGAAAGAGAGAGCAACTGTAGGACCAGGATTTTCAGAGTCTTCAGTTTGTTTGTGATCTCTGCTCCTACCCACTTCAGAGTCCCAGGGTCCTGAAGGCGTCTCGTAAGTCATCTACTTCGTATAGGGGCTGCACAGAGAGGGGAGGAGAGACAGGTCAGCTTTGTGGGGACAGAGATCTCACAGGGACAGATGGGCATGAGAAGGGGGAGAGAAGGGCACTGATGAGTCTAGGAGGAGAGAGGTGTGTGGTCAGGGCAAAGGAAGTGAAAAAGGAGTGAAGAAGTGAGGGGGTGGGGAGAGCATGTATAGGAGAGACAAAGGGGAAAAATGGAGAACAAGGGTGCAGCAGCAAAGAAGAAATGGTGGGGGAGAGGGGAGAGCATGAAAGCTGGTGGTGGGGAAGGGCAGCAGGCAGAGGAATGACCCTTACCAGGAGGATCCGTCTTAGCTTCCTGGTGAGATGGACAGAGTTCTCGTGCAGCCCCTCCCAGGCCTTGAAAGTCCTTTCCCGGTTCTCCACAAAGGTATTCCAGCAGTAGAAGTAATCTGCCCAGGGCAGAAAGCACAAGTACCAGGGTCAGGGCCACCTTGGGTAGGACCTGGCTTCCCCAGGGATCCCTACAGGCCCTTGCCCACATATCCTCCCCCTTCAGATCCTCTCCCATCTCACCCCATGCTTCTCCCCCCTTCTCAGCTCCCTTCTCCCCACCTGCCCATCCCACCTTTGAAGGTCATGATGGCAATGTGGGCCCCGGCACGGTGCAGACGCCGCAGCCCCTCTGGCTCAGCGTTACGTCCCTCGCAGAAGTACAGGCGTGCAACGAAGATGCGCAGTGTCAGGTTGGGGTAGGCCCGCAGGAAGTCAGCCACATGCCTGGCGCAGTCATAGCAGGGGCTCCATGAGGTAAACCAAGTGACCCGGTAGCAACGCCCTGGATCCAGGTCCCAGGCAGAGATATAGCGCAGGAAGAGCACCTCCACATGGCAGCCCGACTGGGGCAGAGAGCAGAGAGTGAGGCACAGTGTGGCAGGGTGGGCAGAAACCAGAGGGGAAAAGGGCCTAGTGGGCATGAAAGAGCATAGATAGGGGCTGCCAGCTGCCAGAGGCACAGACCAGTGTCACACAGAAGTCACACAGGTCACAGGTCCTCCTAAGCCTCGCAGACCCTCAGCCTAGCATGGTTAATGGGCACATTTCTAGATCCACAAGCATACACAGGGGTGATGTTGCCACCATCCTCTCCAGCTGCTTCTGACTCCCCATGCTGGGTGGAGTAAGGACAACCTTTGGTATGAGGGCAGCATGGAGTTCAAGCTCATACCTCTGGGTGGGAGGGAGTGAAATGGCTTCACCACTCTCTCATCAACCCCAGCTTGGTGGAGTGCACCGAGGGATACTGGGTGGGAGGGCAGCAAGAAGGGCAGCAGGGGAGGCATGCTTGGTGGGGTGTGGAGACAGAGAGGTACAAAGGTGAGCTGGTGTGTTGGGGCAGGGGGTGGCAGTGGGCCAAGAGAGGACTGTGGATGGCAGACAAGTGGGGTGGGTAATCTGGACAGACTAGTGCCCACCTTGTTGCGCAGGTATCCAAAGTCCAGAGAACAGGAGGTGGCACTGTCCCGGCGCTTCACCACGTAGCACATATAGGTCTCGTGCCGGCCCTTGGCCCAGCGCAGGTTCTTGAAGTTATAAAGAAATTTCTTCTGCTTCATCAGGAGGCTGTGGGGGTGGAAGGAAGAGGAACCATACCAGCATGTCCTGGAGCAGGAGAGCACTGTACCCCTGTCCAGTGCCCTGGCAGGACTGTGCTTCTGCTCCCTGCACCTTTGTTCTGAGGCCCTGCTGTGCCCCAATGCTGTCCTGACCTGCACTTGGTCCAGAGATAGAAGTGAGGGGTAGGGAGGGGTGTCATTTTGAGGGGGAATGGAAATAATTCAGAGTGTAGAATTCAGTCAAACAGAAACTAAGAGGGGGAGGGCAGGGATCTGAAATAGCCTGCATGTGTCCAGAGGACGTGGGCAGGACAGGAGGGACCTGCAAAGTGGGGAATAAATGGGGATGTATCTCAGAGCCTGGGAAATCTGGGTCCATGACTGCAGAGATGTTTCTGAACTGTGTGACTCCATCCATCCAAACTAGACCTGGACACAGCTAATGCTGGCCACACCCTGATGCACCCAGTGGAAAAGCAGATATTGTGGCATGAGGCGTCCAGGGGAGGCAGAATGGGAGTATTAGCACTCAGGCTAAAGCCCTCCCATTAGATCCCCTGTGATAACCCACTGAGTGGTGGGGAGACTGGTTTGGGACCTAATGCCTGAAGATACCTCTACCTGCAGGGTTCCCCTGCCCTGGGTGGGCCCCATTGTGGGGACACCGCAGGAGGAGGAGGAAGTCAAAGCCCCCATGTGGGGGTGCAGCAGCAGCAGCAGCAGCTCTACACAGCTGTGCTTGCTGTGGTGGAATGTGTGCCTTTCCCACAGCAATGCAAAACAGAAGTGAATGGGTTAAAAATAATCCTGGCCTGTCACCTCCTTCCTCTAAAAGGGGCCCATGCAGGTTTATCTGCTTCTGGGCTTGGGACACTAAGAGGGCAGTGGGTGGGGACAAAATCTAGGAGAGGGGGGTTCAGCTCCGGTGTCTATTGTTCACTGTGTTGGAGTGGAGGCTCTCTGCCTGAAACCAGTTTGAGTCTCTGCAACAACCACAGATCCCACCATTACACAGACACAGATAGACATACACACACACACACACATGCACTTTTTTTGCCCACTGAACCCAAATCTCTGAGCATCTCATCTACATTTGAAATCAAAATGACAAACCCTTTCTGCCAGCACATCCATGTATTCCTGCCCATCACACACACAGAGAACAGCCATGCTGTACAAACATATACTCGTTTGCACATCATCACACCTTCTCACAGTCCTCACCCCTCCATTGCACATGTCAGTGCATGTACATGCACATCCCTTCTTTTGCATGCAGTGTACCTGCCTTCACCCCTGCCATGCTTCCTGCCTGACACAGCAGCGCCTCCCCTGTGCATACTGACACAAAAATCCCTCCCTCCCTGGGCACACCCTGTCTCACAGATGCATGCAACTCTCCCTCACACACAACCTTTTTTCTTCCCATACAATTCTCAATCTGACATGCAAGATACTACCATACATTACAGGTAGAACATGCACACATGCTCATGTATCCCAGTTTCTGCTTTATACCCTTAAACTCATAGCCATGTGTAAAGCACTGAATGCATTATGTTATTCAGTTTAGATATAGATAAGACCCAACTATTGCTAGCTGCAAGGGGAGTTGTTTCTTCCTCTTCCAGGACACTAGTTTGGGCCCAGGGGCTAGAAATAGATGTCTCCAAATGAAGTGGATCAGTGCTGTCACAATGTATCATGGCTCAGCTGATGGGCTGATCTGCTTCATGGGGCCAAACACATATCTCCTCTGCCCCACCCTTGATAGTGCAGGATAAGAGGAGATGTGATCTCCCCAATTTCCCTGTTCAGCAAGACTTGTCCCCCAGGATCACTGGGGACAGGTGTGACTGAGTGTGAAAAGAGGTGCTTTTCCCTGCCCAATTGGACCCGCTGTCCCATGATCGTGGGGGAGTGGGTCTGGCTAAGCAGGTAACCCTGGCCTCCCTGCTTATGGAGAGGCACACTGAGATTCCCTCAAGCCCCTAGAGCATGTGCCCAGGGTGGCAGGAGAGTGAGAGTAGCTTAGGCTTCTTATACACTTCCTCCACAAAGTTAACAGGCACCCACTGCAATAAAGCAGCAGAGTCTATTACTAGCTTTTGTGGTGCCACTAATTTTCCTTCCATGCAGTGTGTCAAAAGGTATCAGCATCCATTTGCTCAGCATTTGTGCATCCATAAAAATGTTTATGGTGACACAAATAAGATGTCAGGAGACATCTGTTTCTACTCAGAGAGCAACTGAGCCACTCTGCCCATGCCATCCTCCCCTGTAGCACCAGCCTGAGGCGCTGCAGTCAGCACTGACTTGGGAGAGTGCCTTCTATCATATTACTGGGTTTGTGGTTGTAGCTGTATCGCTCTAAGGACATAAGCAGGCAAGTTTCTTTGAGTAGACGTGATATCTTTTATTAGATACTCGGTGTAATAAACGATATCACATTCTATCATATTACCCACCCCACTCCCTTTAGCGCAGCACCTCCTAGCAAGAAGCCCTCCTAAACCACCCACCCCCTGCAGCACAGCACCCACTAGCACCACCCTGGGCCACTGCAGCCAGCACTCGGCCAAAGGAAAGACCTAAGCTACTGAACACATGACATCAATCCCAGCACCAGCAGGGAGGTTCTTGGGGGTTCCCTAGGTAGGCACTGCCCCAGGCCAACACTGCTCAATTAACAAGGTCCATCAACACTTACATGACCCCTTCTCTGTCTCTGCTGTACCCTACTCTTTGATTCCCACTTGTTCACCTGTCCTGTTCTCTCTTCCCTCATCTCCTTTTCTTATCACTCTTGCTTTCTTTCCTACTTGTTTTGCTTTCACTCGGGTTGCTCACATTCCTCCTCCAGCTCTCCCTGGAATGCGCACACACACTCACACATGCACACACAGATGTTCTAGCTCTAGATTACAAAGTACTAATTAAATGACCCATGGCTCATTTCAGGATTTTTCAGTTTCAGCTGCGGGTTACCGCAGGGGGGTGTCTATGTGCGTGTGCGTGGAATTATTCCCCTTAATACGAGAAGGAGGCAGGGAGGGGATGCCCCTTCTACCCTGCCTCCTGTGTGACTGATGCTCAGGTGCCCAGGGAGTATAACCTTTGCTGTTACCTGTGAAGGGGCAGGTATAACACTCAGGACATAGTACTAAGGTCTTAGCTGAGGTCAGTCGTAACAGGGGCATAACTACCAGGGTGGTAGGGGCTGGGCTGGTTGTGGCTGTGGCAGCAGCTGCTGTTCTTATACCCCTCTAAGTGTGCACCCAGGGCTGGTACCCCATTTGCCCACCCCTCATTACGATGCTGCACTACAAGGGGCAGAACACAGGAGCTGAGGGGATTACAGAAAATCTTTGTGAACAATATTGTGAAAAACCATGGGCAATGGGAACATTTTATGAAAAAAAAAAAAAAAGGAAATTGTAAACAAATGTGAAAAAGCATGAAAAACATGAACAATTTGTGAAAAAAGCCCTGTATAAAGAACCTGAAAATTTTCAGTTCTGCAGGTTTTGAGAAGGAAGGAGAGTCTTTTTTCACTTGATTTGTGTGTGTGAATCTTTCTGTAAAAATTTTCCCTTTCAAATTGTTTCCTTTTTGTTTCCCCCTTTCTTTTTTCCTCCCCTGTTTCATCTTATTTCTCCTTTTAACAATTCTGCCCCCAAATAGAGCAGCTACTTATTTTGGTGCCCTAGCATGTCATTCCTCCACACAGGTGCAGGCAGTTTGATTCAAACCTTTGGTGCATGAGTGCTCTTTAATGACCAAGGAGAACTCCCTTGCCCTTGCTGAACCCTGCTCAGTTGACAGTAACTCTAGGAGGTGCCCACATCTAGTGGGAGCTTGCTCCCTGGCTTTAACCTCTTAGTTTCTGCCAGGGTTGCCTGGGTCATCTCCATGCATATTTAAACCCCTTCCTCTAGCAGAATCCCCTGGGAAATCAAGGCAAGAGAGAGAATCCAGAAAGAGCTTATGTGAGCTCCAAGGTAGAAAGGAATATTTTTAGTTGAAAATGGGTAGGACATAGAGGGCTATGGGAGTCTGGGGTGGAATGTGCCTGGGCACCAGCATATGGACTGAACTCGAGAACAGGAGACAGAGCAGGTGGAGAGAGAGAGAGGGGGACTGGAGGGACAGGGGCTGAGATGCTTGAGTAATAGACAGCAGGTGCCTAAGATCCTTCCCTGAATCTTTGCCACCTTCTGTTTCTTTCTCTCTGTCTGTCTGCGTTTCATATGAGAATATGAGAAAGTAACAGAACAGGGTAGACAGAGAGTAGGGAGAAATGATAGAAAGAGAGAGAGATAAACACGTCATGAGGGACAGTCAGAGAGAGAAAGAATGACAGAGACCCAGAGACGGAGGGATGAGGGCAAGACAGAGAGAGGATGGGGGGAGCAGGGGCCTGAGTCAGATGAAGAGAGGGAGAGCGGGCAGGCAGCTGCACAAGGCAGATTTTAGTGCAGAGGGAGAAGTCCTGAGCTTTGCTATGAGCAAGAGGTTGGAGCACTGTTTTTTACCTGTCCATGGCTGCCGGGGGTCTCTCTCAGTGTGGCGGGGGGACCCCGGGAGGATGGTGGAGTGACCCTGCTCACTTGTTCCGTCTGAACAGCTCTGTGGCTTGGCGCACAGAAGTGAGAGCTGCCCTGGGTGTCCCTCCCTCATTTGCCACCCCCACACAGCGTCTCCCCCCAGGTTCAGCCTGGTTTGGGTAGGGGAGGAGTTAGCAGTCTTCAAGACCTCAGGAGTGGGTGAGGAAAGAGTTAAAATTTAAAGGGGCATCAGTTCTAAAAGATGCTGAACCCTGATTGGCTGCTTCCCCACAGTGTGCTGATCATTGGTCCCCTGCCACCTCTGATCAACCATAATAAGTTGATATTAATACTATAAAAAGTCAGAAAGCATCGTCTAGTGGTTAGAAAGGACCAGGAGGCAGTCAGCCATAGACTCACTGTGTAACTTTGAACAAAACCATGTAAACTCTCTGTGCCTCAGTTTCCCCATCTGTGCAATGACATTGACCCACCTTGTGGGGATGGTGGGGGATGCATCATAGAGTGTCATTTACTGGCATCTGAAAAGCTTTCATGGAAAGAAGAGAGGGAACTGGTTCCCAACTAGTTCCTGATCTGCATTGTTCTCCCCTGTGTTCCCCCTGCTTCCAAAAAGGAGAATGAAGGGCTTTTCAGACCAAAAGTAGACTTTGCTTTCCAGATGCTGAGAAGCAGTTGCCTCTGGGGTGGGACATAGCCACTGGGTCACAACACACAGCGGCATTACAGTTGAGCACAGGAGCTGTCTCCAAAGTAGGATGCAACAGAGATTTAGAGTAAGGGACATGAAAAAGTTCCCATTAGGTAATCTAGGGTTTGAATTCGCAGCGCGTTAGCAACTGTGCAGTAACTGGGCATGTTCCTGGGTTTTCCTCGTAGTAAATGTGAGATAGAAGCCCCTCAGTGAAAAGGGGGCAAGCTACTTCACACCTGGTGCGGAGTCAGAGCAGGCAGGTTGCAGACGTGATAGGTTTGTGCTTTCCCTTAACCTGCAGTGACCTGCTTGTGCATCCGTGCCTTCTGTGAGGCAAAGCACAGTCTGCAGTGATGCAGTTTACTCTGCAGCATGACACCTCGATGTGATGCTTGTGGGTACAGTGTAAATATGAAAGATAAATAATAAGACTCAAAATTACACAGCTTTATGCAAAAAAGCCCAAGGGATCTCTCCTGGCTAAGGGCCCAGTCCCTCTGTTTACAGTGTGTGCATACACCACAGCTGGGGGAGACATCTGCTTGCAGGCTATTCAGGGCAGGGTCAGGGCCAAGAGCCTCAATGTCACATCTCAGGAAGATGGTGGATGAGTCTGTTGACCGCTCTGCTTGTTTAGAATCACAGCCCTGGCACCATACATATCCACTCTGTGCTTTGCAACCAGAGTTCCCTGCCTTGACGTCTAATAGCCTCGAGCCTTCAGCCATGTCCACATCCCCCAGAAGGGCCTCAGCACCTGGCAGGATTGTGCCTCACCCTGGAGACAGCACGGGAAGCCAAGACTTGGACAGCAGTCCAATTCAGGGAGAATGTGGAGAGGCCAGTTGGAAGATCTCTCTGACATGATACCTCTTCCTCCTCCTTTTCTCCCAACAAAGCATCCCAAGTCCTACCCACTGCCTGAGGATGGAGAAACATCCTCAGTGGAAGGACAAGATGGGATGAGGCTGCGGAGGAGTTGTGAGGAAAATGTTCTTGTTCTTTGTAATGCTGGAGTGAGTTCTCCAGCTGCCTGTGCTTGTTTGCATTTCTGTATTTGTTTCACAGGTTTTCAGCCTGAGAGAGTCATATGAAACCAGGCTATGCAAAAAGATAAGGGACAGTCAAAATGTCAGACCAGCTCAAACCTGGGGCCCTTTTCTCCAATGAGTCTATAAGGCACATTCTCCAGCTTCTGAGAAGAGGCAGCCCCAGATGCTCCAGAGGTGGGAGCAAGGATCTTCCCAATGGACACATCCAAAGCAATGTGCCCACTGTGGAGTTCTTCCACATGCCACATAATTAGGGACTGGTGTAAACAGTCACAGCTCTATTGGTTTTAGGGGCAATGGCAATTACAGCTGTTGATGACCCTTAGGGTTTCATCGATGTCCTAGACCATAAGCATTTATACATTTTATAAACATGTCCCCTAGCTAATATAATTGCTGAGAATATTCCAAATATTTGTATATAAATATATGCCCATTTTAATCCTTCTAAACTTTTTGTACCAGTAATACCCCTAGATCCCTTTGTCACCATTACATATGTTGCCTTCTATGCAGCAAAATTTTAAAAGCATATGTGAGCATGAAACTGCAGCACAAGAAACCATCCATAGACTGGATGTTTAGATACTGGATGTATAGTCTAGATAGGGACCATGGATTCTTATCCCATTATCTGGATTTGCTTTTGTGATCCGGCCCTTTGTCCCTATGGTTTTATTACTTGTTTACCTCTCTCAGCACTGTCACTGCCTTCTGTTTTCCATCCCTTCTTTCTTTCCCTTTCTTTCGTATTCAAATCACTCTCTGTCTTTGCTAGCCTGTTCATCTGCACCCTGCATCTGATGAAGTGAATTCTTGCTCAGGAAAACTTATGCATCTCTGATTCTCTTAGTTTATAGGGTGCATCTCTACTCTGCCTTCAGCCTTTTAATATGTAAGCTAAGAAAGACAGAAGGATCCTTCTGCAGGACAATCCTAAAATATCAAGAGATACCACAGAAACTGCTGCTTCTCAAGAACACAACTGTCAGTGGCTCATCAGGTAAATTAAGGACATCTCAGTTGCATTCTTTTTCTGGTTCCTAATTTTCATAGCCAAATGCTTGCAGCAAACATTACCTCAAATTTTCCACCCTGAAAGCAGTCCGAAACCTTTATCTTTTGCCTCCCAGCCTACGCTCCTGGTTGGACAGAGTCTTAGAGTACACATTTCCCTTCAGCTTGAACAAATATCATGCTTCATACAAAATTGAACTAGATTACCCACCCCAAATGGGAGATGCCCTCAAAGAGTCAAAGTACTGTCTCTACTTCCAAAGAGTAAGCCAGAGGATGTTTGTTCTTTGTGGAATGATGATGGAAGGAAAACAATTAGAATAACTATAGTTATAAGCATCTTTCAAAGCCCTTTGTTGATACTGAATTACTTACCAGGGGCTGTAAGATGTAGTAATGACTACATCTGTGCAGTCATTATTGCACAGTCATTTAATACTTGTTTACTGTGGAGTAATATGAGTTACTGCACAGTAGCACTGACAAATGTCTTTTTTGTGATGCTCCTGTGCAGTAGCTTCATATGACTGTGCAGTAGTGTTGCATCATGGTTGTTGCCACATGATGCTACTACACAGTAGTATTGGGCTACTGTGCAGTCAGCATCTCATGTAGATGCAGCCAGGGTACCTTTTTCATGAGTTCAGTATTTTTATTTATACACAGGATGGCCGTGTCAAGATGAGTGCAGCAGTGCGGTACGTGGTGCTGTAGACACGTCTGTGGCACCACACACCGCATATTCAGCTGTTCTCCACTCAAGAGGGCATTTGCACTGAAGGTCCTGCCATGTCTATATTTTGTTCCTGCACAGCTTGTGGGTAATCTAGATGCACTGTGAGACCCCTCTATGTTCCTTAGACCTAACAGGGCGGGTGGTGAGGGTGCTCTGGAGGGTGTGCTGGTCCACAGGAGTACTGCTCCACCTCTACAGGGGACTCTGAATATAAATCATGGCTCTTGGCAGCTGGGTGCAAGCTCAGTAAAGGGAGACAAGAAAGGAAAGGAATTTGAGGGAAAAGAATCACCCCCACTCTCTGTCTGCAGAGGCTCAGGCAGCAGGAGTCTGAGAAATCAATGAGAAAAAAAAAATCAAAAGATATTGCAAAGCAATTATCCAGCCCAAAGCAGGGACCAGGAGGTCTATTTAGTCAACAGGAAGTCGTGTGATCTGGCTGTGCAAGATATAAATATCTATTTGTTTTTTCCATTCCCCTCTGCTCAGAAATCACATTTTGAACTGAGCGCCAGCAGCTCCAGTTGGTGAGTGCGGTGGCCAAATGCAAGAAACACAGCCACCTGCTGCTCCTCCCCTCAAGTGAAAACCTCAAAGAGGTGCAAAACTTTCTCTGCTTGGCGAAGGCAGACACTGAAACTGCTGCAGCAAAGTCTCTGCACAGGAACCTCAGGCTCAGTGCAAGGGCTTTTCTCTTTTAAATCAATGTGTAAATAAATGCATGGTCAGGCTTACAAACTGCATCAACTGTATTTCTTCAATAGAGAGAGCAATAATGATGTGCGAGCTCAGAAGCAGGGCCGTGAAGCAGTACATGTCCTCCCCACACAGTTCTACCAGTGTCCCTCACTCTTGCCCTGCTATCCAAGCCCTGGGCTCCCCATGCAGCTCTGCCAGGGTTTCTCACCCCTTTTTGCCTTGTTCCTCTCTCTTGAAAAAGAGTGCCTCCAGAGTGATAGTTTCAGCCCTTGTAATCCGAAAGCTGATGTGTGCAGGGTCTTGTTGAGGCTTGAGGAATGACAGGCACCCATACCGGCTGGAGGAAAAGGATCAGCGGTTTAGGGCCACCATGAGGTTCATCCACCCGGCACAGGTGGGGAGGATGTGGTTAGTGCCTGGCAGCCTGAAGTGACTCTCCTGCATGTCTTCTCCAGCTCAGTGCTGCAGCTTGCGGTCGGCAGCGCTCACGTTTACAGTAAGGAAAATGCTGAGTCAGTGATCAAACGTCGCTGCACGGAGAGCTCGGGTGAGTGCAAAGGTGGTACCCACCAGGCTGTCCAGCCCTGTTTCCCTCATGCCCAGGCCCCAGGCTCCAGCGCTGTCTGCCCATTGTCTTCAGCCTCCTACCTGGCCCAGGGCATCTACAGAAACCTTAGCATCCAGCACTTGGCACCTCTCCCCTGGCCTAGCCCTGCTGTGGTTCACTCTTCCACCATGTCCAGAGGGCTCTGTCTGCCTGGCAGCATTCTCCACTCC